GGTCATCTTCATCTTCCTCATGACCACCCCTCTATGCTTTAATACTGTCTTTTCTCATGTGACCTAATCTAGACTATGCAATCTTCAGGAAGAACCACAAACCACCCGCACCCTCCCAGCCTTGGGAACTCAGGAGGTGAGATGGCCTGGAGGTTGGCTACAGAGGCTGAGACTGAGGAGGTCTGAGGTGTCTTCATGCAGGCCAGCCTACCTGGGCGTGGGCATTGATGGGAGAATGAGTTTCCTTTGCCCTGGCTCCTCTGTTCAATGATTTTTAGACACTTAAGTCATTTCCTTGTTTTTCCTCTTGCCCTTGTACAGAGAATTCTGCACTGATCTAAAGGCACTATTTAAATGTAACCAAATTAAGTCAGTCTCTTGCTCCAAATCTTCCAGTGATTGATACAGAAGTTCCTCAAGGCTCTCCTACCTGCCTTGTGTTCTTGCCACCCGGCCTTCTCGGCTTCATCCACTCTGTTCTGGGTCTCCAGCCTTGTTGCTACCTCAGGTCCTAGGTTGGAGTATTTAATGGATATATGTGTTGCCAACTCTTTCATTTCATGTAGGTTTCTGCTCACAGGAGTCCTCCTCAGAGAGGTTCCCCTGCTACAGTCATGCTGTGTGCTATGCTTTGACCCACATACATTTTAACATGTAATATTATTTGAGCAAGAGCAAAATTAATTATTATTGTTTGTCTTTCTTCCTAGGACTCTGCGTGTCTAGCTTACTGCTGTGTCACTGACATCTCACATAATAAAACAGTTTTTCCATACTGATTATGAGACAAAATTTGAGCAAGTCAGGTTTACAAAGAGAGAAACTAAAGGTCTTCATGGGTATAACAGGTCAGTGGTAGATACAACACTCAGAGCAGATTTTCCAACAAGCCTATGAAATGTCCTCTGCACCAGGTCTTCTCCCATGTTACACAAAAACTAAGCTCTTTTGCAATATAAAGACCTCAATTAGAGAAAAATGAGGGCATTTAACTTCAGAGTACACTGTAATTTACCCTTTTATTTTAAACTTTTTGATTATCATGGCTGGAAGTGATACAGGAAAATTAAAACTCTGAAACTGAATGATATGTGGGAGGAGTTTGTGTTCTCTAAAATCGAAAAATGAACTTTAGGAACAGTGGATGTTAAGAGCAGAATGTATTTATTGAGGGAAAGAAAGCTTCAGTTCAAGAGAGGGACAGAAAGGGGGGGCAAGTAGGTTACAGAAGACTCTGTTTTTTCTTGGGACTTTATAGAGCAATACCATGAGGTGAGGTGGGTCCAAGGTAGGGGAAAAGGGACAAAACTATGGTCAGCCAATAAGAATTGTTCAGGAAGAACTGATTAAATTGGGTTCAAACTGGGAAGCAAGTCACTAGCAAGAGGGCATGAATACAGAACAGGGGCTCTTCCTGTAAGGGGTTGGGTTAGAGACTCTTCAAGGTGATGGCTACCTATTTAGAATGTCAATCCCTGATGTCCATCCCTAGGGAGGTAAGAGGGTGTGTTTGTTTAGTCCTCTGTCTTGAGGTCTGGCCTACAGGTATCTTATCTTGTCTTTCATGTTGGCTTCTTCCAGGGCCTGGCCCTGTCTGACTACCTGTAATAGCTCTATCTAACTCAGCTGTCTGTAACAGAAGGAAGCACAAACACCACCTGCTGAAGTTTTATGTTTGCAAATGAGGAAACCAAGGAGGGAGAGGATGTCCCACAGCCGATTGTGGCAGAACCAAGCTAGAATTCAGATGCCTCTGCCTGTAGATGCTTTCTCCTTTTCTGATTTCTTAGTAGTGGACATTAAGACTGCTCACAAATTTTAATTGTTTCTTATATTAAAAAAGATTCTACTCATCATACTGGCAGCTGATCACATCAGATTGCATAGACAGGCATTTCTGGTGTCTCTGAGTCAGAGGTGAATGAAACCTTCTAAGTTGGGGTGACACTGTCCATTGGTTATACTAGTTCCTGCCAGAGTGCCCTGGTTTATTTCTCCAATAATAAGAATTTATTTATTTCATTAGTACATGTTTGTGATACATAATGAGTACATTTATCATGGGACGTTTGGACATGTACAAATCACATTCTCATCCTTTTTACTTCTCTTTTTCTCCCCCACCCCTGTATCCCAAGATCCCCTTCTCATCTGCACGATGTCACTAAGGTGCCCCCATACTAGACCCTCATGCTTTGAGGTCCTCAGCCTCCCCCTGTGAGATGAGAGTCTCATCCCCAAAGTGTTGGGTGACAGAGTGGTTTGTGACCCATGAAAGGTTGCACAGGATGGAAGGAGGTGATTCTTGGTGACCATGGTCTGGGAAATAGGGTTCCCAGTACAACCCAGTTTAATATTCTCTTTGGAAGAGAGATGCTTGGGGTTAACTGCACAGGAGTTAGGCTGGAAATGCTGAAGAGCTTTACTCCTAAGCCAAGCAACATGCTAAAACTGAACAGAATAATCTTAAAACCCAGGAGAGTTTAAGGAATAATTGTTGATTTCTTTTATTACGCTCTTCTCTTTTGAGTGAATCTTAGATTCATAACAACCCAAGGATTATAAAAGAAACACAAACACATACCCCAGAAATCAGCTCCTGTACAGTCCAAGCAGTTCAGAAAGGACCTGAGAACTCAGACTCACATTGTGAGGACGTGCATAAACAAGTAGAGATCAGGAGTTTTCTCTTTGAGGTGCACTGAGGAGAGAAGGGGAAAGGGAAGGAGCGTGACAAGAGGGGACACAGAAGCAGAAACTGAGATGGTGTGGACTTCACCAGGCCAAAGGGAGGAAGTTGTGTAGAGAAGGCAGAAAGGAGCCATCGGATCACAGTAGACTGAAGTCAGGGTGGATCTGAGGAGCATGAAGGAAAAGGGCAATGAGGAGAAGGAAAAGACAAAAGAAACATTGCATGGAAAGATTCTGACACAGAAATTTAGAAAAAGGTTAGGGGGAAAGAAAAGCACAGAGAAGAAGGTGTGGAGGAGAAAGAGGATTATGAAAGGAGAGGGGCAGGGCCTGGGGGAGGGAGGGGAGAAGGATGGAAAGGGAGAGGAAGAAGGATGGAGGGAAGAGAGATCACAGAAGGACAGCCCACACAAAGAGAGAGCCTGTTTGAGGAAACCTCTCCTTTCCTGCTCTAGGAAGCCTTGAAGCACCAAAGTTGGGATCAGGGAAGGAGAGCATTTGGAGGTGCCTCAGGACAGTTAGGCTGGTATAATTACACTCTGGGTCCCCAGCCTAGGGCGAGGGAGCATTCTAGGATCAATAGAGCTATAACATATTTCCCACAGTTCAAATGCAAGACTTTAGATTTGTTGCTCTTTCAGGCTATTCTGAGAGTGACTTTGTACTGCCTTACTATGTGCGTAATCTTGCCTAGAATTCGAAGCCCTGGAAGCTTCAACACCCCTTACTGTGTGTTCTTACAGATATCAAAGAGATAATGACCAATATCCAAGCCACACAGGGCCCCTCCCAAGTTTTCCCCCCTCTTAGCACTCTGGTTTGGGTCTAAATATTGAGAATATTCTAAGTTATGATGCATACCTGATGACAGAATTTGACAGTTCTCAGCTTCGCATGATTTCTGGGGATGTAGCATTATTTTAATCTAATATTGGCTTCTCTGATGCTTATAAAATATTAGCCCTTGAACCTCCTGGAGGGGTGACTGGTCTATGCCAAGAAATTAGCTGATCTTTCCTGCATAAGGAAATGTTTCAAACAAACAAAACTGTCAGAATTCTGGTCTGGAGAGCAAACACTCAGCCCAATGACAGCTAGAAACTGAGGTACTGTTTTTTAAACTTTCTCTGTGGCTGAGAGAGGAGGGGACTGGATTTCCTAGTCTGTGGATCCTTTATCCACACAGACACTCAATTATTGTTACACGCATGGAGGAGTCTCCTGGACTGTGCTGCATCCATTTGTGGATTCCTGATGTAACCTAGAACTACTCTTTCTGGCCAAGATTCTGTGAGGAATCTCTGAGTTGTATGGAAATGGCCCTGGCCTTGGGGCATGGAGCTCTGGTCTTTGTAGTCTGTGGTGTAGTATGTGAGTCAGAACACCGTGCTCCTTATCTCTAAGGTTTAGTCATTCAATGTATGAGAATTACTGGATAATTTCTGAGATGGTCTTCCAGCTCCAAGATTTTAGGGAGCAGAACAAGGTCAGTCTTTCTCTTTCTCTTTCTGTCTCCTTCTCTGTCCTTGTGTCCTTATTATTAATCTTTTTTCACAGAGAAAGTAGATTAGAAATCTCTCAGATTTCAAGAAAGAAACAGAGGCTGAGAAAGAAAAAGCATGGGGATGAGGTACAGATAGCTTCCCCCTCATTACAGAGGCGTGTGAAGTTGTTTTAGAACCCATCACATCTTCTGGGGGCCTCTGTCTAGAATGCTCTGTACAGAGCATTGGCAGAGGAGTTGGTTCCCTCTGAAATCTGTTCTTGGAGGAACGATTTTCAACTTCACCGGTGTGCACAGGTACAAGTGCATTTCTTTGGTTTTTCTGGAAAGGTTGAGCAGAATAAGTGGAGCCCTTGCATACACTTATATATATGCATCTGTGTGCGATCACATATTCGCCGCCTAAAGGCTAAGTGTGTGAGCCTCTGTGTGTGTAACTGAGTGTGCACATGTGTGAGTGACACTGTGGAAGGTATATGTTGGTGGCACTGAGTGAAAACAAATGACTGTTTGTATAGAGTGGCATGTGAAATGGTGCGTGCATGTGTGTAGATTTTTTTTTAGGTAAACCACTTTAGATGTTATCACTTCCCCTCACTTCTGTGATTGATTTTGCAAAGCTGATGGTGCCTAAAAGCGCTGGGGGCTCCGGCTACCTTGACGTCAGAGAGAGAGTTTAAAAAGGGCGGAGCTTGTGGAGAGCCCACTAGCTGCAGTAGGAGTCCTGAGTGGTCCCTGCTGCCTGCAGATCCTCATCTAGAGTTTGATCCACTGCTCTCCAGGTCAGCTTGCCGGCTCCGCGGAGATGCTGTCCTGCCGCCTCCAGTGCGCGCTGGCCGCGGTCTCCATCATCCTGGCCCTGGACGGTGTCACTGGCGCGCCCTCGCAGGATGGACACACCCTGTTTCTGCGCCAGTACAAGGCTGCTGTCTCGAAGAAGCGAGCCGCCCAGTTTCTGCTCAAGTACATGCTTGCTCCCGAAGAAAAGCGGAAGGTAAAGAAACTCCCTCCACGTATTCTTTTCTCTCTCCTGGGTTCCTCAACCTCCGTTTAGCCTTAACAGGTGTTTGGCTCTCGTAAAAAGTTCCAGGTGACCAAAGCTTCCAGGAAAACTTTCAAAGTCTAGAATTCCTTCACCTTAATTTTGCCGGAGGAGTGCAATCAGTAACCCTTCAGCTGAGTTCCTCCCAGGCATTTAAGAAAATTGGGAAACCCAGGTCAAGTTGAGTACAAAGGGATGATAGCATCTATCCCCATGCTGCCCACGGGAGTCGCTGGCCCTGGTGCTGAAGCTCGGACCTAGTCCAATGTAGGGTAGGAGAGGAAACAGGCTTGCCAAAAGGACAAATGTGCTTGCGATTGTGAGAGGTATTGCTTCCCTTACGTTTGTTTTGTGAAAACGGTAAGACTCGTTGCACACTGTAGCTCATGGTATGAAAATTAAGTTAAATTATTGGCACATCCTTCATCCTCGTAAAACTGTCTTTATCATCTATTTATCTTGGTGCGTTTAAAATTTACAGGGTCAGAACACTCACAGAAATATTTGCGCATTCAAAGTATAGCAACTACCGTTATTATTTCTTATATATGAAATGGTTCTTAAGCTAACAAAACCTGCACAGCTGTGAAAGCTGGGTTTGGACTGTAATCAAGTCTATTTTCCAAAGGAGGTTTCCCTTCTCTTCATCATTCTCTTCCTCTTCTCTTTCCCTCTCCTGCCCCACACAGGAACTGTTAAACAACTTCTCCGCAGGACTGAATTGTAGACCTAAGACGACAAAAAATGTTACCCTGGAACCTGAAGATTTGTCCCAGGATGCTGAGCAGGACGAGAAGAGGCTGGAACTACAGAGATCTGCAAACTCAAACCCGACCACGGCACCCCCAAAACGCAAAGCAGGCTGCAAGAATTTCTTCTGGAAGACTTTAACATCCTGTTAGCTTTATTAATTATTGTCTTCTACATCAGCTATCGGATTCCTTTCTTCCAGACACCGTTTCTCTTCCTTAATCCCTCCCTCCCTCAGCAAGACCCTTGCATTAGAAATCTAAATCTGTAAATATAAAATAAAATTATGATGAAACTAGGGAAAACAAGAATTTGGTGGTTTATTGAGTAGGCATTTCTTTTCAATAATGTGTGATGAATTTGAATTACACCACCAGCAAACATATGTGAGAGATGCATTTTCATTCTTATAGTCACTCATTTAAAATTCCTTGTGGTAATAAATGTTATATTTTAAGTGATAAAAGTTATCATTTTATTCATTTCCCACTGAAATCCTTGCAAAAAGTTCTATATCAATTCAAACTTCAATTTAATGGTAATTATTGGAAGGGGCTTCCTTAAACATCAATGACTTATTAAGCATATTTAAAATTATATGTTGGATTGTCAAAATGAGGATTAATACTTATGGGTAGACTGACTGACATGACCTACGCTGACAAATAAACTGGAATATGCCAAAAGTGGAAGGCAGAAATCACTTAGACGTTGCGGAGAGAAGCTGTTTTAAATTGCTAAAGTATATATTGTAGTGTATAAATTTTGTTTCTAATTTGTGAACTTTTATCTTCTGAAACACCACTGGTTTTAAATCTTATTTGAAAATTTCCTCTGTAGCTGAAAAAGGCAAAATCACTAGGTTTGTTTTCAAAGTAAGCATCTAAACTTTGGCTCAGACAGAAATATCATTGTGATTGTAAGATTCCAGCACGACAGTACCAGAGGGTGCTAGAAACATGCGCGCTGGATCAATGCACTGAGTGACATGCTCTGTTAAATGTTTCAGAACTTAAATTCATCACCACAGAATAAGTAAAGTAGGTATCTCCAGTCCTCCTCCGATTTTATCAAAATGGTATAAATGCAAAGATAAAAATGAGAATAATAAATTATAGCTACATGATCTCACTCAAAAACTGGAAAGAAACATTAATAATTTAACTCGTAGAGACCTGAAATAGATGTCCTTTGTGAAATATATTTTAGCTATCAACCATATTTCTGCATAACCATTCCTGGGATAATCAACCAAACTTAATCACGATGTTACTAAGGGAAGAAAGAACGATAAAGAGGAATTGATATTTTCCAAAATAGCTGTTTCTTGAAGCTCATTTTAAATATGATGTGGTTTTGAGGACATTAATTGTTGAACAACTGATCAAAGAAGAAAAATCTAAACTACATCGGTGATTTCTGTGAAAACAGAAACCCTTTGAGGTGCTGGTGCATCTTTTATTGACAAAACATTTAGTGGGGAATTAATATACACCCACTTCAAGGATATGCCTGGGCTAAATGCTTCATGAACATCTGGTTACCAACCAACTCTGTGGAGTCATAGACTCACATTAGTATGATTACAGCACAGTTTAATTGTTTTCTGAGCAGTATATAAACTGCATGAGTGCAGGGGATTTATGATTTTACTATCGTGTTCAGTTTTCACTTCCCTTTAGGGTACGGATATTGGCAAGAATTGCACAACCACAAGTCCAGATAACTTACTCTTCATTTGAAACTTGAATCAAATGAAACATTTTTACAGGATCAATTTTCTTTCAGCCTCAGTTGTTTCATCTCCATAGTAGAGAGTTGAATTAGGAAAGGTGTTCACATCCTAGACATTTTTCACTTTAAAATTAACTAGGGTGCTCAGAGAACACTGATTTGGGACTATCTTTCATACCATATAAGGCATAGCTTTGTCCCATTTTGTTTGATTTTAGGTATGAAGAAGATCTTACTTTTTATTTCTTATTTAGTTCATTCAAATTCCTCTTAGCTCTGATTTGCTGAGAGAATCTAGTATTCCAGCATGTTCATTTTCAAAACACAATTAACTCTTCAGATATTTTTCCTCTTCCTCACATGATTCAGGGATCTGGTTGAGCTTGCACACCACATTCCTCTTCATAAAATCTCCTGTTTCTCCATCTGAAAATGGAATGCTAAAGAACCAATGCCCTAGAATTACGAGAATTCACTAAGACCATGTACCCAAAGATTTTAGCCCATGGTAAGCAGCTGGTAAGTGTTTGATGCGAGCACTAATTTTGTTCTTACAGGTGATATGCTTTCTAGCATCTCTGTTTTTCCCACATTTTGTCTTTTCCATAGGGCAAAACTAGCTCAGCCCTCAAAACCCATTATATATGCCTCTTGCTCCACACAATTCCTGCTTTATGCTCTCACTTGAAATATCTGCCTTCTCTGAGTAATTGGCATTTCTTCTATTGGGGCTTATCATTTTTAACTGTTTCTTTCATTTACATGAGTCTACATAAGAGATGGGGTGTTTGCATATGAACTTCTTTTGGATGTATATATGTCGGCTCAGTGTTTTACATCATCACAAGAATGAGTGATCTCTGAACTAATAGTGTCAAGTGAAACAAATCTCTACTTACTAGGTGACAACATTCTCCCTTAATTCTGTAGTTGGCAAGAGAAAATGACAGAAGTACCCACTGTATCTAATGCTAGTGTGACACCAGTAAAATACAGCACATGATGATGATTTCAATAATCACTGAAAGATCTGAGTAGCAGATGATATCCTTTTTAAAACTCCAGCCAGTCCAGTTCACTTGAACTTTCTTTCAATGCCTCAGGGATGGCCTTTTCGCTATCCAGCAATCATAGGGCTCACAGTTCTAGAGAATCAAATTTACTAATACTTTTCTCACACTTGTTTTTTTCAAGATCATGGATATCTGTTTTTGACAATAACACCGTATCAGGTTAATAAGATCTTCTGGTTATTGCAGACTGATCAGGTCTGCAATCTTCCATATGAGTGAACAGTAAAAGCTATATAAAAGAGGCAAATGAAATGATTTCAGGGCTCCTGGAGGATCAAAACCCTCTCCCAGAATTCGAGATTCTCTCAGGGCTAAGACTAAGACCTTCTCTAGGTGGCCCATATTTATTTAGTTATCAGAAGAAGAGAGAGGAGTACTCAAGAAAGGCAAGGACAGAAACACTCAAGATCTTCTCCAAGTAAGGCATTAAATTAATCGACCAGTAATGAGACACCTGAGGCTACAGTCCTTAGGTTGTATCCTGAGGTTGGATGCAGGTGTCTTTGGCTGTGACCTTATCTTATCCTTTGAGGCTTTCCAGTTTCATCCACTATTAGGAGGCCTTAGTGGGGATTAGTGACTCACAGAGGTTCACTAACTATGAGTCCATTGCCCATTTCCAGACAAGGAGCCAAGGCCTTGGACAGACCCGCAGGTAAACATGAAAAGCCAATTAGTTAATTGAAGTCCTGCTCAGGGCTGCTTTCTAGTGGTCTCCATCAACACAGGATTCATTTTAATGGCCATGGCTCAACCTATTCTCAATATGCCAATAATTCTTTCTTATAGACACACACACAGAATGTACTCTTTATTCAGAATATACAACATAGAAGGCTGAGCAACCATCTGGTTCTCACCTCTAAATTTCTCAAAAGAATACATCAAAGTGTTAAATAATCTGTCTCTGATAGCACAGAAAGTTGATGCTGAGTTTGGACATGGCATAGGATCCCCCATCCTACTTGAAGGTTACTTTTCTTATTCTGTTACACTGCCACTCAAAGAACCTGCTCTTCTAGATAACTCGTGTGCTTCATTAGTCTGATATGAAAGTTAATTTTGGCCCTAAGCTTCTTTACTTTCCATTGGCCAACTGGTCTGTTTCTGAGAGGGAAAAAGGCAATTGGTACAAAACAACTTCTAGCACTTTCAAAGAAAGAGTACGAAGAAATATTAAAGGCTTTGACTGAGAGAAAAAGAAATCCAAAGGAGGTGACCTTACACTGAATTGAACCTAAGCTGTGAAGAATGATTCTGTCCAGTTTTGAGGACAATGGACTTCCTTAGAAGGCAGACGCATTTTTACAGTAAGGAGATGGTGAGGAGAGGTGAACTTCAAGGAAGTCCTCATCCATTTCAAGACTAGGGAGAAAATACTACCATGGCCTTTCCTAGCTTTTTAGTAAGTGAGGATGAATGTTTTAGTTCCAGGTGTTTGTTTTTGCATTATTCCAAAACGTGCCTCTGCGGCAGGACTTATTGCAAACTTTGAAATCAAACTTGGAGAGAAGTATATTCATTACAAATAGCTACCTGCTATCATTGAGGTTTGTAAAGACTGGGAAAGGAGAGAAGCATCAGCAACTCCATGTTTCTTTCCTCTGATATATTCCTCTCATTAGATTTTGATTATGGCTTAGAAGTCTACTGATTTCATTCTAGATGGAAAGACTAAATTGCAGTATACTCTTTCATAATTTCGTACTTTAGGTTAGTTTGCAAAGTGTTAATATTCTTCTTTCATTTTTATTTATTTATTTATTTATTTTGGTACTGGGAACTGAACTCATGACCTTGCCCTTGCCAGGCAGGCGCTGTGCCACTGAACTATAATGCCAGCCCAAGATTCTTTTCTCGAAGATGTAGAAGTTGAGAATCAGATTAAGTAGCTTGCCTAAAATGTCCGCAGCTCATCAGAGGTAGATTTGGAACCAGATCAACTGATTTTTAATTCAATGTTCTTCCCACTGTATCTTAGGGGATAGAGGCAAGCTAAAGGAAGACTGTAACTTGATAGGCAAATTAAAAACAGATCACCTCCAGACCACTTTAAAGTAGCTGTTCCATAAATGATACAAATGGCTATTTCTACTCTATTCTTGTCAGAGGAGGAAAGAATTTAAGCTCTGGGAT